TCCGCGCGAAGCGGGGCCGTCCGGGGCCGCGTCCCGCGTGCCCGGTGCCCGCTCCTGGCCCTGTGGGGGCGAGCGGCGAGCCCCGCGTCGCTGGGACCTCGTCGCCGGATGCACGGACTGGGACACCGAGGCCCAGAGAGGTCAAGGGCCGGCCCGAGGTCCCCCCACGAGTGACCCTCGGAAGAGGGGCCGAGGGCCCGGCCCGGATGGGCTCTGGGGAAAGGCAAGGGGACCGTCCTGCTCTTGAAAGCTTCCTGCACTTCTCTCACTTATGTCGCGCGGCTGTCCCTTTCGTATTCACAAGGAAATAGCGCCTGAGCTCCGAGCGCCGAGCTCCTGAGACCCTGCTGCTCAGAGGTCGGTTACATAAAAGCGCGTGCCCTTCAGGGCGTCTGTGTCATCCCGACTCGCTGCTGGTTGTCGTTCTTTTAGACTGTCAACCGGCTGTGCCGGGACACAGATGAGAGAGCCGCGCGGGAGCCTTTCCCTCCCAGGGGGACAACCTTGAACGCAAGGCCCATGAGTGGCGATGCCCTGGGTCTCTCTCCACCCACCCCCGACTGGCAGCAAGTGCGCCTCCGGGCTGTTTGCAGATTTCCGGAGGCTTGTGGCGTAAATGTTCCCCAGCAGCCCCAGGACTCCAGAGTGCCTGTCTTGCCTTCCAATGCCCGCCTCAGGTCCTGGCCTCAACGTCACCTTCCCTGGACAGCCTTCCAGGTCTACCCTAGCAAAGCTGACCACTGCTCATTGCCCCCGGCGATGGTCTGAGTACTCCTGTTTTCATGAGGCTGTGAGCATCTCAGGGACAGAGCTTGGGTTTTGTTGAGGGGAGAGGTCCCCAGAGTCTGGAGCACAGGACAGGTGCACCAGAAATGTCCCTTGAAGGAATAGTTTAGTGGAACGTTACTCCTCTGTCCAAATCCTAACAGATCCCCATTCACCCCCAGGGAGCCCCTACGTTCTTGATGAGTCTTAGGAACTCTGAGCTACTCTAAGCCCAGGCCCCCAGGACTCAGCCGCCTTCCTTGAAGCACCCTCTGCTTCTCTGACTCTCTGGTGAGGTGCCATTTCAGTGTCCCCAGTAAGAGTCTCCTTCATGTCTCCCTTAGGCCTAAACTTGCAAGAGGCAGTCAGATGACACTGTTAAATGCATAGCCTCTGGGGCTAGACAGCCTGGATTCGAAACCACAGCTCTGCTGCTCAGTAGCTAATGTTTCGTCGCCTCTCTGGGCCTCAGTTTCTCCCTCTGTCAAGTGGAGATGACAGTAGAACCTGTTTCACAAGAAGGTCGTGAGTATTAAATGTTGACTCCTCATGAAATGCCCCAAACCACATCCAGCATATCATAATTGCTCAGCTATTCTTTGTTTTTTGTGTTTTTTTTTAACCCCTGCATGGCTGCTCCCTGGGCGTTCTGAATCTCCCTCGCCTTCCCTTCAGCTGTGGCTCCAAGGGACACTTGGCAAACATCCTCACTGTTGGACATAGTGTGTCACCACAGCAGACTGAGCAAAGGACTTGTGACCGTCACACCTGCTTCTGTCCTGGGGCTCAGAATTGGACTGGTAGGACAGGAGGGTGGATGGCGGCTTCCCCAGCTCTAACCTGACTCTCTGTGCCACTGTGGTCAATCACCCTCAAGCATGAGCTTCCACCTCTATGAAGGGGGACCCTCAAAAAAGGAATTATCATTTTGGAGTGCAGGCCCCTTGTAGTACAGGCTTCCCCTGCTAGGTAAGTGTTCTAGGAACACGTCAGCATCAGTGTACCAGCTGGCATTGTTGTGAGCGGCTGTGGCTTCAATGAAATTTTTTTTTGGTGAGTCTTTCAACGTGTTTGCCCATTCCCTGATGGGTGATTTACGAGTGCACTTGCCTACATCGTGCTGAATGCTCAGCGGTTTTTGACCGAAAACGCTATGACCCTCATGCCCCATCCTCCTCATTCACCAGATCTCACCCCAGGTGACTTTTTTTCCTTTGCTTCTCCCGATGAAAAACCTGTTCAAGAGGAAACACTTTTTGATGGGGAAGAGGTGAAACAAAACAAAACAAACAAAAATGACAGAAGCACTAAAAGGTATAAAAATTGACAGTCAGCCGGGCTCGGTGGCTCAGCCTGTCATCCCGTGCCTTTGGGAGACTGAGGTGAGTGGATTGCCTGAGCCCGCGGGTTCGAGACCCGCCTGGGCAACTTGGCGAGACCTCATCTCTACAATAAATCAAAATGAGCCGCGTGTGGTAGCGCGCGCCTGTAGTTCCAGCTACTCAGAAGGCTGAGGCGGAAGGATCGCCAGAGCCCACCAGGTCGAGGCTGTGGTGGCCGGGAGCGGCCACTGCACTCCAGTCTGGGCGACAGAGTGAGACTCCGACTCAGAAAAAAAATATATATATATTGACAGTCAAAAACTCTTTTGAGCTGTAGAAAAAGCATCTCATTAGGTGCATTGCATCAAACAGAGAGTATTTTGAATATGACTGAAGTTTACACATGTAAGAATACACATTTTGAATAAATAAATTCTAGTTGATGTTGGGTCCCTCTCCCATATGCCTGTCGGAAGCCCGGGTTATGGCAGAAGTCCTGCAGGGCATCTGGATTCATGCGGAAATGTCTTCTCCTTTGACAACTGAAGGGAAGTACATACCTCAGGCCAGTATTCCTGCATCACTTTGATTCCAGAATGTGACTCCCTGACAGCTACTTGTAATGGGAGGAAGGGGGATGCAGAGTGTCTGGGAAGAGACCAAGAGAGGAGTGTGGGGTCCAGATGCTTGGTCTTAGATTCTCTTTTTCAACAGCTCTTCTCCCTCTGTGTCTTCCATTCAGGCCATCTGCACTGTTTGTTGTCGTTGTTGTTTGTTTGTTTTGTTTTTAGGGGATGCACATGCATGTTCCTTACATGGACATAATGTGCGGTGGTGGGGACTGGGTCTCAGGTGGCCCATTGCCCAGATGTAGTGATCATTGTGCCCCATACTGTTTCTATTAAGCATTTACTAAATGCCAGGCACCATGCTCACATCTTTGCATTCACTAAGGTTCTCTCAACACCCTGCAGGAAATATTATCACTACTCACAAATCAGGAAATGAGGCTCAGGGCAGTTTAACACTTTGAGGTCCCCTAGCTATCAGTGAGTGATCTCAGGCCCACCTAACTAGAAACGCTTCCTTTCTCTCCCTTCCTGGTTCTGCCTTCCCAGGTGACAATCGGGGACACGGGTGACTGGCTCTCCATCCCTCCCCGATCCGAGCAGTTGGCAGAGACATCCTGCCAGCAGCTGGGGAGGAGGGCTGTACACCAAGAAACTGACAGCAAGGGCACTGAATCTTCTGCTCTGGACCCTCCTTCTCCCAGAACCTTCCAAGTGGGTAGGTACCAAGCACTGTGAGTGCCCACACAAGGTCCTCCAGGGAAGAGGGAGACGGATGTCTCTGTGAGATGCTCAAGAAATTGTCCCCACCTACCAACCTGGTCGAACTGCTGGCTGTGGGGTGCCTCCACCTCGTGCACACTCTGCTGGTCTCCATGAGAGCTCCATCCTGCAGGCATCAACCCTCTGATGCTTTGGAAAAGGAGAAACTGGGTCTTGGGAAAGAGAGTGGTTTTCCTGCAAGCCACTGTAGGTAATACATTCAGTTCTTTTGGCATCCTGACCAGAAATCTCTCTAGAACACAGCAGTACTCACTGACCACATGCTATGTGCAGACACTGCTCTGGGTACAGGGGACATAGCCATGGAAAAAACAGACTTCACCGAAGCCCCCTGAGACCAGGGCAAAGGGGCCAGTTACTTCATCTGCAGTCTGTGGCGAAACTTACCTGACCCCCAGGTCTGGACTGGAAGCCCCAAGCTGCAGTAAGGAACTGTGACTGTTCTTCCTCTGCATATCCATATCTGTGATTGTGACCCAGACGCAGAAGGACACTTCCCAAACCAACCTCATCTGATGTCACCGGGCCATCTCAGGAACCACAGCAGGTCCTTGCAGCCTCAGCCTACCACCACCATGACACTGTCTGTCAGAATCCCCACCTGCCTCTTCCCCTACCTACATACTCCTGGAGAGAAAAAGACAAGCCTCTGGCCTTTGTGACACTAACCACAGTGAGTCAGACAGGGCCAGGGCAACTCAGTGTCATCAGAGGTTACACAAGATGTAGGGAGCATGTAGTTTTCATATTTGCACAGGACTACTGCTCACACAAGTGTCCTCTCTGCCTTTTGCTTAAGAAAAGTGAGCCCCATCCCAGTCACTTCAAGACTCCGCAGTGTCATGGGTGTGAAGTCCAAATCAGACTGCACCAAGGGCCAGAAAGAGCTGGGTTTGGCCCTGGCTCTCCTGCTTAAGAGTTGTATGATCTTGAGTCAGCTACTTGGTATAGGGAGAGGAGGATACCGAACTCAGAGAATCTTTGTGATATTTAAGCTGAAATCATGAAGCTCATCCTAGTCACTAGGTGCATTTTTAAGCTTTCTGACTGTTCTTTCTCTCCCATAGTTTGTGCTCCTGTTGACCTGAACACATCAGGTCCTGGTCATCTGTCCCCTATGTTGTCCTCGGAGCCTGTTCACCTCCACAGCCCTGGTACCTGATCTGGTAGTCAGTTCACAGCAAACACTCAGCATTCACTCTGGGTCCATTTCTCCTAAAATGCAGTCCCCAAACAGCACTGCTATCCAGCCAACTGAGGCAAGCGCAAGTTTGTCATGTAAGACAGGTACCAAAAGATGGCACACCCCTACCTAGAAATCAATCATTTATGTGTCGGGAGAAGACATAAGGATTGTCACTCTGATCCCTGAATCCCATCAGTTACAGCAGAAAATACATTTTCAAGCCCTGTGATTATAGCTAAAAAGGCTTAATAAAAGTGGATGAGGACTTAGAGAAACTCTCCAAAGATGAAAGCCTCAAAAAGTTCAAAGCCCGTCGTAGATCTGGAATGCCTTGGCTGAGAACGGGTTGGTCTGTTAGTGGCACTTTTCAATTTTACTCAATCTCCAAAGACCTCCTGCATTCAATGTATGGAAGTATAACTGGAAGGAAACTCAGGGACCAAGTAGCTCACAAGTCACTCGCTTTTAGAGATGAGGAAACTGTTGCTCAGAAAGTTCAAGCGACCCAAAGGTAGTAAGTGGAGAACTGACCTCATGCCTGCATGTGCGAGCACACCCGTTCTACCCAACCTGAGGATGGATAGAATCAGACCCTCCGGCCCCGTCACTCACATGGCTGAAGACGCCTGTCCTTCTGTCTCTGTATCCATGTGCCCTGCAAGTCTATGCCCTCCTTTTGCTATTTGTTGGATGGAAAGTTCTGTTCATCTCGCCAGCTCTATTCTTTCGCCCGGGAACTCTCAGAGCCATCCTGGTTCTGCCTTCCAGCAGCTAACGAAGCCACAGATATTGCGCGCGCGCACACACCCCCTAGTGGCCGTGTGTGCAAGCGCATGCCCCCAAAAGTGTGTCGGAGTTGGTGAACCGCTGGGATGTGAGATGGAACCCCCGATAGGACTACAACTGCATCCTAGGAAGGAGGATAGTGACATATGATCTTAGGTGGAAGAGAGTGAAAGAGGGAAAGGAAATCAAAAATGCAAGGAAGGGAGTAAAAACAAACAGCAGAACAAAAGGAAGAGAAAGGGAGATATACAGAACAGGAGGAGAGAGCTAAAAGAATAAGGCAAGCTTAAAAAGGGATGTTTCTCAGTGTTATGCCTTACTCTATTTTAAAGATAAGCACAAGAAAAGAGTAATGGGAAATAACAAGATTTGGCATGTCCAGGGTCAGCCGGCCATCCTGCAGCACAACAGGTGGGGACAAACCAGCCAGGGATGAGATCTGACCCCATCACTGCCTGACTTGGCAATATTCTCAAAATCCAGATCCTTCTCTTTCTATGTTTCTGAGCCTGCAAACAGAAGCCAATAGCAGTTGTTCTTTTCCTATTTTATTGAGATCTGATGAGAGCAATAAGTGTTTGCAGAGAAAACTCTGAAAAGTGCTCTGAGCTCTTGGTTGTAACCATCATAGAAATGTGTTTTATTATTTTTCCCGATGAAGCAAAAACCCTCCATCTTTTGCTTCCTGGTCTAAAAGGTTATATGGGATGCTAGACTACTGAAGTACTTTCTGTATTTCAGCAATGCATCAAGTTATCACCACGTCTAGTGCTTTGAAAGACGCTGTGATTTGGAAAGCGCTGTTCAAATGTAAAACATTATTGTCACAGTAGTAAAAATATCTATGTCCATCTCCTAACCCACTATTTCTTGTCAGGATACATAGAAAAACACACACAAAATAATTCTGTCCACATTAGCAGAATTTTTTTTTACAGCAAAACTGCACATAGCTGAGTCCTGCAAAAAAATCAAAAGCAAAATTATTTTTGCCCATGTCAAGTTACCATCAGTGTCCAAATAGCTACCAAGGGGGTGATGAAGTTTTTAGAATCCACTGCAAAAGTGAACACGTCCGGGTCTCCTATAAAAACGCCAGCCTGAGCTTGTGTTTTTCTTTGTTTGTTTTTTTAAATGAAGATATAAGCTTAACAAAAATGCCTGTGAAAAGAGAATGTATATAAAACTTAGGTTGTGTATTTATGTGAGAACATTGAATTACAAGAGAAACATTTCTTCTGAAAACAAAAGTGGACTTTCGTCAATGACCCATCTGCAGACTCCCTCCATGTCTCGGTGGTTTTCATTCTTTTGGGTGTCTATAGTATGGCATCAGCCTTCCCACAAATCTCAACCTTCATCACTGCCCTTTCAGGACTTATGCCAGGGTGATATGTAACACCTCAAAATCCCTTGCATGTCGCTAATGGGGGAGAGAAGGGTGTAGTGGGTATACCTGGGCAACTTTGATCAACTTCATTCTTCCTCAGATGACAGCTGGCACGTGGAAATATCCCAGCTTCCTCTGACAAATCTTTTCCTAGGAATCAGTTCTCTTTTGGTCTTCCTAGCCATACTTGTCGATAACTAGTCTGTAAGGCAGCAGCAACTTAGATGTGCAAACCAACACTATTTGACACAGTTCTTCAAGGTAAGTTACCCTGGAGCACGTAGCGATTGAGGCCACCAGCAGAGGAGTCAAACACCGACTGGGGTCTGCTCTTAATCAGATGGGAACTTTGGGGCAAGACAACCTCTACAGGTCTCTCCCTCCCCACTTGTAAAATGAAGGCAATATAACTCCCCACTACTTTAAGATTGCCGTGAGCTGAATGCATGTAAAGAGCTCAGCACAGCACCTGGCACTCAGTGGACACAGAACAGTGGAAAATCAGTAGAGCCCTGACCAAGAGAAATATAATCTGAGCCATGTGTGTGATTTTAAATTTTTTAGAAGCCAATTAACCACGTGAAAAGAGACAGGTGAAGTGAGTTTTAACAAGATCACTTATTTAGTTCAATATCTAAAATATTATTTCAAAGTGTAATCAATTTTTAAACATTAATGAGATTTTACATTCTTTGAAATCCAGTGTATATTTTGAACCTACAACACGTTTCATTCCAATGCAGAATTTTCCACAAGGTAAAATATGGTTCTACCAAAACTACAAAGTTGTGTTTCAAGGAGAAATATTTTACACAGCTTTCATTTTAAAATTTAGCTTTCTTTTGTTAATAAAATATTAAAACTACTTCTTTGCTAAGGCTAGCCCCAATTCAAGACCATTAACCACATGTGGTTAGTGGAAGAAGGTATTCAGGGATGTGGTATAGAAAACCCAGCTTTCAGTCTTTAACCAAATACCTGGCTCCTTGTCTTACTCCACATGCAGTCCGAAAGGAGACTGTCCTGGGCTGTTGCAGTGGCCACAAGGTGTCCTTTGTGTGCCAGGCTCCTTCAGTCTTCCTGCTTCACTGACATCAGGGGGTCAAAATGGGTTGTCCCCTATCCATCCTGGGCATCATGACCCCGTTCCATGCAGAACTAAGACAAAGGGGAGGAGCTAAAGAGAAATTCTCACACCTGTTGAGACTGCTCAGGTGTTAGGATGCTTTCTTGGACGCCCAATCAAATAACTTTTGTTCAAGTGTCATTAACCAAACTTTGACCCACATGATCACCCTTATTTGCATAGGGCAAACTTGGGAACCATAGCGTTTTATCTGGGCACCTTGCAAACGCCAGTGGAAGTAGAGCTCCTCGGTAGGGAATAGGGGACAATGGATGTTTGGCAAGCAACTCACAGCCTCTGTCACAGATGACACCTGCAATTATCATTACTACTTTTACTACTACTACTGCTGTATGCCCACCACCAAACTCTCAGGTGATCTCCAAGGGGAACTTGCAAATAATTTTTGAAAAAACAAGACAAAATAGAGTTGTTTATTTCTTATTGGTTCAAGAAAACAAAACCCCCTTCCCTGAATCAGCCTGCCATGGCCCAGGGAACCAAGACAGACAGGAAAGAGAGGGCAGGAGGACTGGACTGGACACCAGGAGCAAACAGTCTTCAGGGCAGAACAAGGTTGTGGCATGGCATGAAGCCCCTCCTTTGTGGGGCTTGAGTAGAAGCTGTGGCTCAAGTTACTGTGGGATGGGTGCTTCCCTTAAGCGACCAGGAGGGTGACTGTATGGAAGGCAAATATATGCTCCCTGTTGAGGTCCTTCTTTCTTCCAGGTGCCAAAGATATTTCTACGGGCTCAGCTGCAGCTTGGAGATCCTTCTTGAGATACTGACTTCCTATGGCCTGGTCTCCCTCCTAAGGCCCTACTCACCATTGAGCAGAAACAGACATACTGTCAACCTCGTTATCACCTAAGTATGACCCTCTGTTCTTATAATTACTTAAAACCTACACCTCACAGTAAGATCCATGATACAACCACTTCGTAGACCAACTGTGAGGATGCACTAATGCATGCAGAATGCTTAACTCAGCCCCCAACACACAGAAAGTGCTCAAGAAATTATTATTCTGAATTTTCTCCTATGCAAAAGTGGGTTTTGTGTTTTCTTTTGTCTACCCTGTGGTTTAATATATTGGTCAGAATACTGGCAGGAAATAAATGGTGTTCTCAAAACGAGTTGCAGAAAGAGGTCATTTACAAGGTGTGGGTGGGGTAAAGGGAAGAGTTAAGCAGTCTGGGCCTCCAGTGGGAAACCTCACATCCTGCACCTGAGGAGGCCAGGGGAGGACAGGTGAGCCCATGAGAGCTGTGGGGCAGGGAGCAGGCCCCCAGCAGGGGCTGTGGCTGATGATAGGAAACACTGCCCCTACCAAACAGTGGAGTCCAAGAAGGAGCCAGGGCACTAAACACCCTGACCTCACCCCTCCACCCTCCAATCTCCTTCACATGCCTCCCACTGGCTGAGTTTAAGCAAAAGCCAGTGGTCAGGGGAGGCCAAACAATGTGTATCACAGAGGTGAACCTTGCAGGGCAGAGACTGAGGTTGAAGAAGGTGGAGAGTGGATTCAGAGGGCAACAGAAGACCAAACCTCTTTGCAGTGTCCTACAGAAAATATTTTGCATTAAGTATCTGGCACTGACTTGCTGGACATCTACTCTGGTTAATACTCTTCTTGTAGTGTTTGGTATCCTCATTCAGGTTATGTGTACATACGGATAATCTAGAGACAGGGAGACATTATGGTGCCATAGAGAAATTCTGGACTCACCCAGAATTTCACACACATCTCCCCCACCCACTGGCCATGTGAGCTATGGCAAGCTAATGGGCCACTCTGGACCAAACTCTCTAATCAGTAGCATAGGAGAAAAATCAGTTGACTCAGTGGTTAGTCGTGAACTAATTTAATGAAATGTCCTATGCTTCCCATGCCACTGCTACCCTATGGAAGCTGTAGAAACGGTGGCCAAAAGCTCAAGTTCTCCAGGCAGAATATGTAGGTTCAAATTCCAGCTCTGCCATTTTGAGCTCTGTATCCCGGAAATAGTTCCTTAAATTGTAGTATGTTTCCTCATCCACAAAAGGGAGGAAAATTGTCCCCATCACATAAGGTGGTTGTGAGAATTAAATGATCAATAAAAAATAAGAAGAAATTGGAACAGTGTGCAGCACTTACTGACTCAGTACCCTCTAATATATGTGAAACACGCAGCTGCATAGAGTTTGTGTTCAATACACGTTGACCTCCCTTCCTCCTTCCTGTATAGGAAGGGCAGAGGATGATCAGCACCAAGGGCAGGGACAGCGCCCTTCCTGAACTCTCCCTGAGTCGAGGTAGGAATTTCTTCCCTCTCCCTGTTGGATACTGGAGAGGCAAGTGGTTTGGGCATCTGAGCAGGAATTAAGGATACATTAGAGCCTGTGGATGTTGGCTCCCAGTACCCAGATGAAGAAAAACACAGAAGCCACAGCCTCACGCTTCTGCCCAAGAAATAACTGGGCTTCGTCCAAGTATGGGCTGTTGAGTATAGCCGTTAAGAACATAATCAAGGAGCCAGCTTCTCTCTAGCTGTTTCAAGTTCTGGTCCTTCCACCAGCACTTCATGGTGGTGAACTAAGATTCAGCTGACCTTCTACAACCTCAACCTATCAGACCATCACACGCATGCATACATGCACATGTGTGCACACGTGCATTTACACATGTATACACATGCTTGTGCGCGCACACACACACACACACACACACACACACACACATGCTGATCCCAGACTATAACACCTAAGTCAGTACTTGCATACTTGAAAGGCAACTCAATAATCAGTGTAGTTAGAGCAACTGCTTCTGAGTACAAGGGAAAAATCTGGTCCTAACTCCTTTGTATTCTTTTCCCTTGGTGTCCATGGCTATATATGTAACTTCTTTGTATTCTTTTCCCTTGGTGTTCATGTCCATATATGTAAAACACGCAGTGCATACAGTATGTGCTCAATACATGTTGACATCCCTTCCTCCTTCCTCCTTTCCTGTACTGAGTGTCAGTAAGTGCCACACACTGTACCAATTCCTTCTTATTTTTTATTGATCATTTAATTCACACAACCACCTTATGTGGTGGGGACAATTTTCCTCCCTTTTGTGGCTGAGGAAACATGCTACAAATTTAAGTAACTGTTCCCAGGATACAGAGCTCAAAATGGCAGAGCTGGAATTTGAACCTACGTATTCTGCCTGGAGAACTTGACTCGGTGTTTTCTAATGGTGTGATGTTCCTGTTATTATTCCAGGCTTTGGAACAGGGTTCTTGCCCTCATATAGCATAGCATTTAGTGGAAGGGACAGATATTCCACCTATTCCTCCATGACCTTGAGGAAGTTACTTAACCTGCTGTGACCCAGATTCATTATCTAAAAATTGAAGCCGTCAGTGTCATCTTCACAACACTGTTATAGAATGAAATGAACTAACTATGTAAATGTCTAAGTGCTGGGCTCATAAGACTGATGTGAGATATAAGGGTATAATACCCCAAAAACGTGCTTAGAATAGTATCAGGATAATGAATGTCTTCAGTAAGTGATATTTTCATATTTTTATTGTGTAAACAAAAGAATGTAGAATTGCAGATTGTAATACATTCTCTGAAGGGAGAGAATGATACAGGGTACCTAATTAGGTGGAGTGATCAGAGAAGAGGTAACTGTTAGGACTTGAAGGGTCAAGCCATGATAACCAGCAGAGTCCAAGGGTTCCAGACAGAGGGTCAGCTCTGAGATGCAGAAGAACGTGGGTCTCCCAGGCAGATCCAGTTCAAATGCCATCTCTGCAGCCTCCAGCCGTGTCCTCCAACCAGTCATGTCACCTCTCTGAGGTCCAGGTTCCCCATCTGCAACATGAAAACTGCAATGCCAATTATAAACAGAAGGAGGATAATAATAATGAAAAAGTTAATGTCAATGTAGCAGATTTTAAATAAAATAGCTCATATAAGCCACCAGGCAGAGTCTCTCACACAGTAGGTGTTTCACAAATGATAAGCTGCTCTCTATTTCTCCATCTGCTCCCCTATGCTAAACTTTTATTAAAATTAGCAACTGTCTCCTCAGATCACTCACATAACTAGCCCATCAGGCTTCAGAGCCATGCTGATCTAACCCCAGACTCTGGGTCCATCCCACTTCACTACTTAGCCAAATCCAGAATCATCACAGTAGTTAACTAGTGAGTACAGCACTTATTCTAACCCAAGCCTTCTTCTTGAATTATCTAGTTACTCCTCATAATATCTCAGGAAAGAGGCTTCTACTCTTTACCGCATTTTACAGGCAAGATGTAATAACTTGTCCAGTATAAGGATTGCCAAAGCAGCCCTGAGGAACTGGTTATCCAGGGCATCCTCAGTCTGTCTTCTGTGTCCCCATCCTTGCACAGGCTTCTTCCATCCTCTGTGTCCTAAGGCTCCTTGCCACTATCAGGTTAAACCCTACTGTTGATTAGTGTTCACCTCTTTCTAGAAGGTACTGGATTGCTCCAGGCCCCGAGATCTGAACTGAACTGAAAAAGTCAGATCCCGGCCACAAGTAGTCTTAGATCTCTTTTTGTTAACTCATGAAAGACTCTACAAGGGGGAGGGGATGTGCTCCTGTCTCCCTTCCTTCTTGTCTTTCTCCTTTTTTCTCCCTCTTTTATTCTTTTTTCTTTTATCTCCTTTTGTGTATTGCATAGGTCTGGGGACTTGGTAAATTGGCAAGTCCTGACAACACTGCAGGAGAGGCAAGGGAGAATGAAGAGAGAAAGATCATTCCAGCGATTGTATCATGAGCGAATTGCATTATTTCCTCACAGCTGGAAGTCATTTCTGAATAATCTCTGAATTAAAACAGTACTTTTCCTGAAGAAGCCATATTTTCTGAATCAAGAATTAGGACACATTTCTGATAAGGCCGTTGAGGAGATGTGAAGAGGTCAAATGTTGCTATTGTTAGGTTTGGGTTGGAGGGCTGGGGAGGTAGTTGAAATTAGGGATTTTTTTTTTCGATGTCTATCAAAGGATATGATCATTCCTATTTCACAGATAAAGGAATTGAGGCCAAAGTTTATTCAGCTTCTGAGTCAGTGAGGCATTGAACTAAATGGTGAAACTTTTTCCTTTTGAGAATTATCATTGTATGCTTTCATAATTTCCCTTTCCAGGCTCATTATATGACTCCCTGGGTCCATGTGACCAGTCATTTGAGCTGGGTCTACACATGGCCCAAGAGCCCCTCTTAGGTACCTGCTAATCTTCTGAAGTTTCTGTAGCAAAGCATTCATCTCAGTATAGTGAAGGGCCAGGTATGGTGGTCTATACCTGTAATTCCAGCATTTTGAGAGGCTGAGGAAGGAGGATTGCTTGAGCAGAGGAATCCGAGACCAGCCTGGGCAACATAATGAGGCCATATCTCTATTTATTTAATTTTTAAAAAGTAAATTGTTTACTTACCCGTCACTTCCCAGGCTATGAGCTACATGAAAGCTTGTTTGTTTCATGTTTGTACTCCAAGGTCTGGGACAGACACCTTTTTCTAACTTCTTGTCCTCCCTGGCTCCCTCACACTCAACTTGTTGACATGCCCTTCCTGAATGTGATGCCCATCTGCAGGGCCACCAGAGTGCTGGGCTTATTCATGGCATAGCAGCCCATTGCTCACTCTTCCATCCCCTTCACCGGGCTGTGCTTTCCTGGAGGCCGGAGACTATAGGTGCTCAGTCAATGTTAGTTGAACAGATGAACAAATAACTCATCACTGTTGTAGTCATGAATTCAAGCTTTTCCATGCAATAAATTCAAAATACATCTTAATGTGAGCTAGTTAAGCCATCTGCATACATTTCATATCCCACAAATGTATATCGGGCTGATTCATTCTGAGCTGTGCTAGTTTCATATACAAAAGAAAAGGAAAACCAGTTATGAATAACCAGGTTCAACATTTAGGAATAACATGCCTAGAGCTATTATCTAGATAATTTTTAAGGAAGTAGAGGTGGGAAGGACTTTAAATACATGGCATTCTTTTCCTGTACTCATGAGAAACATCAGGTTTCCAAGCTTTAG